AGCTAGATCTTATAAGAACAAGCTATATTCAGAGAGATAGTTATAATCAATAATGCAGAATCAAAGCTAGTAATTAAAGAATATTCAGGAAAAGAAGCTTTATACAATTTCATATATACTTTCAAGTTAGCAGAGCTAGCAGTTTAAGAAGAAGAATCTAGTAATAAGCGAATTCAAATAGTGCTAGAATGCTAATAAATTAGCAAAATAATAGAAGCGAGATTCTCAGCAAGTTAGTTTGCTCTGAAGCAATAAGGAAAAGCTTTAGAATGTAAATTGTAGAATTATATAGGAAAAAACTCGAAATCAGGCTCTCAAGCACTTGGTTCAGCTCGGAGCAAATGCTTAAAGCTCTTGAAAATGCTATCAGAAAAGAAGCATGCTTAACAGTATCTACTGTTTCTTTAGATAGCAGAAATAGCATATGAATCAGAACTAATACTTGCGAACATATTATAAGAATATTACAAATTTAAGAAACTATTTCAGAAAGAATTGAATATAGAATTATCAGAATATAGCTTATATAATTACAAGATTCTGCTATAAGAAGGGAAATAGCTTAAATTCTTCTCTATCTATAAACTGAATAAAGCATAGCTAGAAGCACTTAGGAAGTATTTCAATAAGAACTTTAAGAAAGAATATATATAATCATTGCAATTACTAGCAGAATATTCTATTTTGTTTATATCTAAAAAGAATAGCAAGCTTAGACTATATATTGATTATAAGCAACTTAATGATATTATAATTAAAAACTAATATTTATTACTACTTATCAAGGAATTATAAGATAAGCTGCAAGAAGTATAGTAATTTACAGTTCTAAATCTAAAAGAAGCTTATAATCTAATTAGAATAAAGAAAGAAGAAGAATGGAAAACTGCTTTTAGAACATATTATAAATACTACAAATATTTGATTATACTCTTTAGTTTAATAAATACTTTAGCTTTATTCCAGAAGATAATTAATTATATTCTATATAAGCATCTGAATTAGTTTATAATTGCTTATCTCAATAATATTCTTATTTACTCTTGAATATTAGAAGAATATAAGAAATATATGAAAACAGTATTATAAATGCTTTAGAATATAAAGCTTCTTATAGAATCTACAAAGAGCTATTTTCATATACAAAAAGTTGATTATCTCAAATTCATAATCAAATTAGAATATATCAAGCTACAGAAGAATAAGATAAAAGCTATTAGAAACTAGCTAATTCTCAGAAATATTAGAAATATTAGATCTTTTCTCGAATATATTAACTTCTATAAACAATTTATTAAGAATTATAGCTGAATTGCATACTCTTTTACAAATCTCACTAAAAAAGAATAGCTTTTCAAATAAATCTTCAAAATACAAGAAGCTTTTAATAAGATTATCAGGCATATTATCTCAGAACTAGTTCTATATAAAGCAGATCTCTACAAATCCTTTGAAATTAAAACTAATATATCGAGATATGCATTCAGAGAATAACTTAGCTAGCAAGATAATTAAGAATATCTAAGAATTATAAGCAACTTTTCAAAGAAGTTGAATAGCTTAGAAATCAACTACAGAATTCCTAATTAGAAACTTATAGCAATAATAAAAGCTTTCAAGAAGTAATAATACTATTTTATTAGCATACAATACTCAATTATAGTTTACTCGGATTATAAGAATCTAACTATATTTATAATAATTAAGATTTTGAATAAGCAATAAGTTAGATAAGCAGAATTTCTTTTACAATTCGATTTCAAGATTGTATACTACAAAAGCTTAGAAAATGAATAAGCAGATGCTCTTAGCAGAAGATCAGACTATCAAGATACAGACTCTTTAGATATATAGAATATCTTTGCTTAAGATAAATCAGGAAATCTCGTTAATATATATAGAGAACTGAATACTGCTCTTAGAATCGGATTCTTAGAAAGGAATTCAGAATTAATAATTCCAAATAAACAAGACAACTATATTAAGAATATATATAATATATCAGTATATAAGCATTAGAGAGTTAGAATAATCTATAAATATATTAAAAGATATTGAAATCTATCAGATCTTAGGAAAAGAATTAAAAGCATTTTATAATAATACAATAGCTACAAGAAGAATAAAGTAGAAAGATATAAGCTTTATAAACTACTGCATTCCTTATTAATACTTATAACTATTTAGCAATTTATTAGTTTAAACTTTATTACCAAGCTACCTTTCTTATAAGAACTCTTAACTAAGATGCAATGCAATAGCATTCTAGTAATGATTTGCAAACTAAGCAAGTATGCTTATTTTCTTCTCTATAAGGAAAGCAATATAGCAGAGAAACTTGCATATACATTTCTCAGAATGATTATTGCTAATCATAGTATGCTAAAAGAAATAATCTCCGATAGAAATAGAAAGTTTAATTCAAAATTTTGAACTTTGCTTATAAAACAGCTCGGAATATACTATAGAATATCTATAGCATTTCATCTGCAAACAGATAAATAGATAGAAAGAATAAATCAGATTATTGAATAATATCTTCAATACTATATTAACTAGGAATAGAATAACTAAATTAATCTATTGCTTCTTATACAGTTCGCTTATAATAGCGCAGATATAAGCATAATAAAGAAATTATTATTCTTCATATTTTATAAATACAATCCAATAGCTTATTACAAAGCACTGCTAGAAGCAAATATAGAAGCTGCAGATAAAAGAATTAAGAAGATTAAGAAAGTTCAGAAGAAACTCCAATCAGAATTACAATTTATTCAAGAATGAATAATGCAGTATACAAACTCCAAAAGAATTGAGAAACTAATCCTACAGAAGGAAGATAAGATCTACTTACTTCGAAAAAATATTAAAACAACTAGACTTAGCAATAAACTTGATTATAAGAAGTTAGGATTATTCAAAATCTTGCAATAGATTTTCTCAGTTAATTACAAATTAATATTATCTTATGAAATGAGAATATATCCAGTTTTCCACATTTTACTGCTAGAACTAGTAATATAGAAAATATTAATAGATAATATAGCAAAAGTAGAAAATAATAAATCAGAGTATGAGGTAGAGAAGATTTTCAAGCATAGAGGTATAGATAATATAAGGAAATATCTTGTTAAATGGAAAAATTATTCAGCAAGCGAAAATTCTTAGGAACTGCAGAAAAACGTTAAAAATGCTCAGGAAAGAATAGCTGAATATTGGAAAAAGAAAGAAACTACTACTTAAGACCTCTCCGCTCCAGAACGAGAATCAGGCGCTGCAGTTTCACTTTCCAGAAGAAAAGGCTAATCAGATACGCTAGAATCAAGAGCTAAGAAACTCCAGTTAATAATTTCAAGATAATCCTAAAACATCAAACGAGTCTTCTCTTTATGAAGACTGCAATCCTCCTTATCAGCAAACCCCTCCAAGGAATTGAAACTATAACAAATCATTTCTGTAGCACATTCCTTCAACAGCTTTTGCTATTTCTATATACAATCAAGATAAGCCTGCAATGCTAGTAAGGCTTATAGAGCAGCAGCATTTGCTGATTCTGCCTCAGCCTTCTCGCTTAAAATCTTGCACTTTTTACGAATTAAATGCTCTACTGAAGAAGAAAATCAGTAGCTATAAAGAATATCAAGAAACGAAGAAACTAATTAGCAGAAGCTGAGAAACAATCAGTATTACAGCTTTGATTTAGAGAAACATACTTCTTACAACGAGAAGAGTTTTCAGTAAAATAATAGAAAGCTTCTATCTTCTAATAATAAGTATAAACAGGCATTTTAATACCAAAAGCAGAAATAAGCTTAGCAAGATAATAATACTCTTAAGTTTTTACTGAATAACTAGAATACAATTTGTTAATTCTATTTAATATCTTAATTAGAAAAGTATAATTATATATGCAAATAACTTGCTAGAATACTTATGAAAGATTGTTAGAAATAATAATTAATAGAAGAAAGATGATATTATAACTTATCTAATATGCAGATTACTAGCTAGAATATCCGAAATAACTATTCGGAAAGATAGAAAAGAATTCAATATCTTAAAAACTAAGGCTTATATAAGCAAGAATTAGAATTACAGAATTAGAATAAATCAGTAGCTGATTCATGATAATCTGAATCAATTGGATTACTCAGATAATCCAAGGAATTCAACAATCAATACTACTAATAGGATTAAAGAGCTGAATATATAAGAACATATTTATTCCTATTAGATAGATCTCGTATATAGCTCTTCAGTTATCAATCTAAGTATTCAGTTTCATATACTGAGTAGCTTCAAAAGCAGTAATGTTATAACTCATCCAACATGCAGGTTACAGGATAAGCTCCATCAACCAAGGGACCAGGTATCACAACCCAACATCGGATACCAATCAGGATTACATAACCCGAGTTAGAATTACTAGCGCAACTATATCAGCTATGAATATAGTTAATATATTTAGGAAACAACTATGAGGAATCGGAATATAGTTAGGATAGTCAGAACTGAAGAGCTGAATATATAAGAACACATTCATTACTATTAGATAGATTCAGTACATAGCTCTTCAGTTATTAATCTAAGTATTCAGTCTTATATACTGAATAGCTTCAAAAGCAGTAAATACTTGCCTTGCTCATCAGAACTTGTACGGTTCCGTATTCAAGAACTTAATACTTTGATACTGCTCTTGTTAGCATAAATCTTCTCGTGTACTTAGGAATCTTCGAATTGCTGCAATACTCATTACATTTTGATAATTCTTGTTTAAGAACAGTTTAGTATTATTTCCTTGAGCAATACGGAATACAATAGCTTCTCCAGGAATCTCTTTATTCTTGCATATCTCTACTCAGGAAGAACTGATTAATCAGATATACTAGCTTATTCAGCATATTCAGAATCTGTACAAATAACAGCAGGCTCAGAGCGCTATTATTGCTAACTAATAAGCTTAGCTAGCTTAACAAGCTTAGCAGGCGCAATCTATCTCTGCAACTATTAGTGGCGCTGAAAAAGCATATAAGATGAATAAGCCTGCTATGTATAACAGCAATCAAAAGATACTGCATGGATTTCTTATCTACTGCAGAGCGTATTTCTTGCATTACAAGACTCAGTTTATTAAGAAATCTGAGAAAGTTATTCTTGCAGAAACTTATCTTGAAAAGAATGCTCTTATCTGATACAAGCCTTCTCTATACAATCACTTGAAGCATTAGAATAATTCTGATGCATATATTCAAGATACTAAGAATATATTTAATTCTTTTGAAAGCTTTGAGAAAGCTCTTAAGAAAACCTTTGATAATTTCAATAAAGAATATATTATAGCTTAGCAGCTTATAGATCTCAAGCAGACTAAATCAGCTTCTGCTTATACAGTTAGATTCAAGCAATTCTTAGTATAACTCTTGTAAAAAGATAAGAATCTCATGAAATACTATTACAAGGAACTTAAGAATAATGTTAAAGATGAAATTTCTAAGCAGAATTAGCTAGAGAACTTTGCAATATTCTCTAATCAAGCTATCTGCATTAATAACTATTTGTATGAATAATGAATAGAGAAGTTCAAGAAGAAAGAAAGCTAGATTTAGAGATTTTCAGTTAATATAAGCAAGAAACTTCAAAACAAGAATAGCAGTCAATATAGCAATACAGCTTAAAGCAGCATTATATATACTGATTCTATGGAATTCAATGCTGCTAATAAGCAGTATAGCAAGAGGAATAGTATTACTTGCTACAATTGCAACAAATAAGAATACATTACTTGCAACTGCTATTAACTCCGAAAGAACAAATAGCAATCAGTTCAGAAAAGATACTAGATGAATATTGCTTGATAATAGGAATCCAATCAACTGAGCAAAAATACTCTCTTGAAGCAAGTATCGAACTCTATTAATCACAGAAATCTCAGCTGAACATTTTGCTATAACAATAACTGCTTAATATATCTCTTGAATAAGAAAGATTTAGAATAGTTTTCTTAGAAATCTAAATGCTACAAGCAGATAATAATAGCAGAGCAAGAATATATGTTCAGCATAACTACAAGCAGCAACAATTCGAACTACTTTAATATCACTAAACGAAGCATTCAAGCGCTAAAGGAAGAGCTTAATAACAATACTCTTCGCTATTCCTTATTACCTGTATCAAATACTATAACCAGAGAAATGAACAAAGAATAATACTCTCTTGATTATTAATATAAATATTTAAACAATACTGAAAATACTTCTCAAGCAATAGAAAGATTAAGTTAGAATAAACAATCTAATAATTTATTAGAATCTCTTATAAATAATAAACCTAAGAAGCTTATAGAAAGATTCTCCTTCGGTATTGAATAAAACAAGGAAATAATATAAATTGAATATCTTATTTATGGGATAGAATTAGAGAAGCTCTTTATCTGCATCTCCTTGCAGAATATTAAAGTATAAAAAGATAAGAACTCTCAAATCAGCTTACTTTACAATCTATATTATAAACTAGCTTGAATCTCTTATATCTATTATAGCTATAAAGTGCATTTCTCAGATAAGATATAATATGAATAGTTTTCCGTTAGAGAATTAGAACAAATCTTTCAAGCTGTTAAAGAACAGAAATTCCGCTTCAGAAAGGTTCTCAATAGATAGCATTACAATACATACATCGAACTACCAGATAACTACTCTATACAATGCATAAACAAGAAAGTAAAATAGTAGCAGTACAAAACAATATTCTGCACAATTCATATTAATAATAAGATTTGCAACTAGCATTAATAGAAGAAAGACTAGAAATAATAACAATATAAGCAAAAGCAAGCTAAGAAGCTTGCTCAAGAAGCAATAAAGCAAGCTTAGAAGAACAAGCAGTTCTTAATAAATTCAAAAGAATAGAATTGCTTGTAAAGGGACTGCAGATAATCAGATTAGAACAGTTTCTATATAAAGCTTCTAGAATAGATTATGCTTATATTAAGTTTGATATATATATTCAAGAATATAAGTACAGCATACTATTGAATAGTAGCGCTTAGGGAAACTTTATATCCTTATATATTATTAATCAGATACAACTATAATGGAGATGAAAGAGATGCTCATATACTCTTAGTACTATAAAAGAACAACCTATTGTATACAACCAAGGAGTAATCAATAAGAAGACTGATTATCTATCTATTTTAATTCAAGAATGTATAATTAGAGCTTCCTTTGATATCATGAATACAGCATAGCATAAGCTGATTATAAAGCTTTCATAGCTTAAGAAGCATAATTCTTAAATCGATTGAACTACTAGCTAGATCTCATGAGAACAAGCTATATCCAGAGAAATAGTTACAATCAACAGTACAGGATTGAAGCTAGTAATTGAAGAATATTCAGGAAAAGAAGCTTCATATAACTTCATACATATTTTCAAATTAGCAGAGCTAGCAGTTTAAGGAGAAGGATCTAGTAATAAGCGAACTTAAACAGTACTAGAATGCTAACAGATTAGCAAAATAATGAAAGCAAGGCTCTTAGCAAGTTGGTTCGCTCTGAAGCAACAAGGAAAAGCTTCAGAATATGAATTGTAAAACTATATAGGAGAAACTTCGAAACTAGGCTCTCGAGCGCTTAGTTCAGCTCGGAGCGAATACTCAAAGCTCTCAAAAACATCACCAAAAACAATAAACAAAAAGAAGCATACTCAACAGTACCTACTATTTCTCCAGATAGCAGAAACAGCATAAGAATCAGAATCAATACTTGCAAATATATTACGAGAATATTACAAATTCAAGAAACTATTCTAAGAAGAATTGGATACAGGATTGCCAGAATACAGCTTGTATAACCACAAGATCTCGCTATAAGAAGGGAAATAGCTCAAGTTCTTTCCTATTTATAGACTAAACAAAGCATAGCTAGAAGCATTTTGAGAGTATCTCGATAAGAATCTTAAGAAAGAATACATACAATCATTGCAATCATCAGCAGAATATCTCATTCTGTTTGTACTCAAGAAGAATAGCAAGCTCAAGCTATGCATTGATTATAAACAACTCAATAATATTATAATCAAGAACTGATATTCATTGCTATTCATTAAGAAACTATGAAATAGATTGCAAGGAGTACAGTAATTCACAGTTCTGAATCTGAAAGGAGCTTATAATCTGATCAGAGTAAAGAAAGAAAAAGAATGGAAAACTGCTTTCAGAATATGCTATGAATACTACAAATATTTGATTATGCTCTTTAGTCTAATGAATATTCCAGCTTTGTTTCAGAAAATAATTAATTATATTCTATATAAGTATCTGAATTAGTTTATTATTATCTATCTCAATAATATTCTTATCTACTCTCGAATACTTAAAGAATATAAGAAATATATAAAAACAATATTGCAAATGCTCTAAGATGCAAAACTTCTTATAGAACCTGCAAAGAGTTACTTTTATATACAAAAAGCTAACTATCTCGGATTTACAATTAAGCTAAGATGCATTAAGCTATAGAAAGATAAGATAGAAGCTATTAGAAATTAGCTAGTTTTCAGAAATATTAGGAATATTAAATCTTTTCTTGAATATATTAACTTCTATAAGCAGTTTATTAGAAACTACAGCTGAATCGCACATCTTCTTATAAATCTTATTAAGAAGAAGCAGCTCTTCGAATAAACTTCCAAAGTATAAGAAGCTTTCGAGAAGATTATCGAGCATATTATCTTAGAACCAATTCTATATAAAGCAGATTCTTACAAATCCTTTGAAATTGAAACCAATGCATTAGAATATATACTTGGAGAATAACTTAGCTAGCAAGATAACTAAGAGCATCTAAGAATTATAAGCAACTTCTTAAAGAAGTTGAATAGCTCGGAAATCAATTATGAAATCTCTAATCAGAAATTTATAGTAATAATGAAAGCTTTTAAGGAATAGCAATACTATTTCATTAGCATGCAATACCCGATTATAGTTTACTTAGATTACAAGAATCTGATTATATTTATAATAACTAAGATTTTGAATAAGCAATAAGTTAGATAAGCAGAATTCCTTTTATAATTCAACTTCAAGATTGTATACTGCAAAGGCTTAGAAAACGAATAAGCGGATGCTTTTAGCAGAAGATCAGACTATTGAGATGCAGATTTCTCGAATATACAGAATATCTTTGCTTAGAATAAATCGGGAAATCTTGTTAATATATATAAAGAACTAAATGCTGCTCTCAGAATTGGATTCTCGGAAAGAAATTCAGAATTAATAATTTCGAACGAACAAGATAATTATATTAAGAATATATATAGTATACTAGTATATAAGTATTAGAGAATTAGAGTAATTTACAAATGCATTAAAAGATACTGAAATCTATCAAATCTTAGGAAAAGGATTAAGAGTATTCTATAATAATGCAATAGCTGCAAAAAGAATAAGATAGAAAGATACAAGCTTTATAAACTACTGCATTCCTTATCAGTACTTACAACTATTTAGCAATTCATCAGTCTAAACTTTATTATCAAGCTATTTTTCTTACAAGAACTCTTAACTAAGATACAATATAATAGCATTCTAGTAATAGTTTGCAAACTGAGCAAGTATGCTTATTTTCTTCTTTATAAGAAAAGCAGTATAGCAGAAGAACTTGCATATGTATTCCTTAGAACAATTATTGCTAATTACAGTATGCTAGAAGAAGTAATCTCCAATAGAAATAGAAAGTTCAATTCGAAGTTTTGAATTTTACTCATGAAACAGCTTAGAATATACTATAGAATATCTACAGCATTTCATCTGCAAACAGATAAACAGATAGAAAGAATGAATTAGATTGTTGAATAATATCTTTAATATTATATTAATCAAAAACAGAATAACTAGATTAATTTATTACTTCTTATACAGTTTGCTTATAATAGTATAAATATAAGTATAATAAAGAAATTACTATTTTTCATACTCTATGAATATAATTCAATAGCTTATTACAAGGCATTGCTAGAAGTAGATGCAGAAGCTGTAGATAAAAGAGTTAAGAAGATTAAGAAAGTTCAGGAAGAATTCCGATCAGAATTATAATTCGTTTAGAAACGAATAGTATAATATGCAAATTCCAAAAGGATTGAGAAATCAATCCTACAGGAAGGAGATAAGGCTTATCTACTTCGAAAAAAT